AAAACTGAAGAAAGGGGACTACGCATATCTTTCAACGAAAGATCTGAACCTCCCCAAGGGGAGGGCGCATAAGTTGTTGCCAACTTATATTGGCCCCTACGAAATACTGGAGGTATTTGAGGACTCATCAAACTATGTCCTCAGGCTTCCCCCAGTGTTGACGCAAAGAAATATCTTTGCGAAGTTCCACGTCTCACGGCTCGCACCTCATGAGCTGAATGATTCTGTGCTGTTCCCTGGGCGCGCCGTAGAAGTATTTTACGACTTTGGCAACGACCCAGAACGGGAATACCAGGTTAAGGAAATCGTCGACCATCGATGGGACGACGATAAGTCTTTATGGTTCCGTGTCTGATGGGGACTTGGTGACCTTACTTGGGAACCCTTGGCTAACGTAAATGATCTAATTGCGTTGGATGACTACCTAACAGTACAAGGGGTAGAGAACGTCGAGGAACTGAACCGTCAACGATGGGATCAGATGCCAGACAATAGATCCAGCGGACCATCATGACCACAGCGTGAACGTCGCCTACCGGTCCGATACCAGCGGATATCAATGCCTTATCACGGCCAACTATGGCGTTGAAGCCATGAGTTGCCTAAACTGGCAAGTCCGGGAATATCCGAATAATATCGGATAAATGCGACGAAAGCGGGATCAAATCCTGCTTCCTACCATCAAATTTGAAATCGCTCAAATGAACGCGACTGAATCCCCCCTCGCTGATTCCTCCCTCGACCTTTCCCCCATCAAGGAGGCCCTTGTAGACTCCAGTCCCAACTCCCCACCTGTAAGTCCCACCATGGATGCTGCCATGTCGTCGATGGATGACAACTCCACAGTCGCTCAGACTGTCACCCCTGAAGCGCCCAGCATGGGCGTTTTAACCCCAAAACAGGACCATTTGGTCCTGCCCACTCGCATAAGCGCGAGTGAGAAATACCCCCACCTGCCGCATTCCACGCAGACAGGGCTCGATCAACTCGAAATGATTACAGAAGTCGTGTGGGCCCGTATCGAGAAGAAACTCGAGAAACGTAAAGAGACTACATTCGAAGACGAACGTAGGAATGATGAGCTCGATGAGCTCAGGAACAAGTATGAGATGCTGCAGAACGAGGCCGACGACCTGTGTTCTGAAAACAACCGTCTTCATCGACGGGTCGAATCCCTCCAAAAGGCCAACAACGAACTCAACGAGGACGTCTTTAGAGTCGCGCACACGGCAAGGGGACGCCCTGCATCTCCCAAACCCGCCCCGATCACATCTTCTGCTCCCTCGTCGTCACGGCCCACTGTTCCCCAAACCATCGTTATCCCCAGGGTTGGCCCGGTGGATCCTGCGTCGGCCAAGTCTGCGCCGTCGAAAAAAACCACCTCTTCCAAGAGATGGGCTCCCATGTCCGACGATGACGAGATGGAAGGCGAATGGGTCATCGACCCTGATGCCCCATTCGAAGAATTCGTCGCGAACCGTCCACCCGGCTACCATTACTACGAGTACTATGACGCCAAACTCACTGAAGTGCATGGCGAATGTCATATCCCGGAATCCCGACCCCGCACACTCCCACCACATCACACCTTCCTAACAACTTCACCATCCCCTACACCATGCCTCCCCACTCTCCAAATCACCTTCCCTCCTGGCTGTCTCAGCTCCGGTCGGGTTGCGGCACACCGAACCTTGGCTACTCCCATCCCGGAACCTCGGTCCCGAGTCGGAACATTCGGAGACCCCGGATTTGCTCCGATATCCTGACGGACCTCCGACATCCCGTGACATGCCCTTAAACCATTCCCTCGCCCACTTCATTTATTGGAGTCACCTAACATCCTTCGGACACGCAACTCCGCTTTCGGAGCTAACCGTATCCTTCGGTGATCTCCTTCACGCTATCACTTATTAGTCATCTTCCATTCTTAGCACGACTACCTTCTTACTACCATTCAGTCGGCTAACCCCCCTTCCCCATTTGTCTTCCCCATTCATTTTCCGGCCTCCAACTCCGCCCTCCTTGGCCCGACACCTCGGTTCCCCGTTTTAGATATCGTTCGGAACCTTTCGGTACCTTTCGGTGTTTTCCCCGTTTTGTCATTTCGGGCTTTGACTAAAGTCCTCCCCATCCACTTTTATAAATACACGTAGATTAGAACCTGTAGTTCCTCAGTTCTAATCTCGACTAAAATGCCACCCCAAGTCCCTCTGAGTGATTCCTGTCTCTGTTCTACAAGACACCTCAGACATAAGAAATACAAGGACTAACAGAGACGTAACGGAGGCACAGCGCTCCCCCCGAGTCGCTGAGGCCGCGTCCTTCTTAGAGCCTCTTGTACCATCCAGCAGAACCGGGCTCCCTGAGAAGCTTCGGTTCATCACCGGAGCCCTCGGACCCCCCTCTAGTTGAGCCCCCGCCTGCATTCGGACTCACGCATTCACCCCTTCTTCCATAACCGACGGGTTTTTGACAGCGAACCCCTACCCCCACCGACATATTGTCGATCGGTGGCCCTTCCTACCCGCTTCTACGACATCGACCATGTCGATAGAATCGAATTCCCAGACGCGGCTGTGCTCGTCCGCAACAAAGAACCTAAGTGGTTCGAGTTGGTTCGTAACTACATACACACCGAAGAAGGTGTGAGGTTCTATGCTACAATGTACCATCTTGCCTGGTCGTTCAAGACGGGCAAGCCCTCGCAAGAGGACGTCAACACCTGTACCGACTGGTACAGGGTGGCTACAAACAACCGCGCCTCACGAATGCGTATGTCGCACGACGACATTGAGATGGAGGTGAAAAGACTTCCCAATCAGTACCCCCCGGCTCGTATTGCACAGATGTACATCCTCGCATGTCGATGGATAAAACCAATGACTGACGACGCTCGTGAGCGTCGTAAAATTCAATGCCAGGAACGAGCACTTATGTACTCGAACCCTCCCCCAACGTCGTACTCAAACCCGCCTATGATGTACGCGAGCCCACACCCTGTGGTGTATTCAAACGCCCCACCTCCACCGCAATACCCCCCTCCGACGTATGCACACTCATTGGTGTACGAATCCGCCCACGCACCACCAGTGCAAGGGCATGCTCCCTCTTCTCATGGACGTGGCCATCCTGCGCACCATGTCCATTACTCACACCGTCGTCAAGACGAGGATTCGTCCATGAACGATGCTGACGTCGAGACTCGTCACTATGACGACAACTATCTGAGTGACGATGTCGCTGTCGACGCGGCTAGGTCCACGACGACTCGTAGGACTACGTCGAATCGCCCATCCGGCTCTGGCCCGTCCGGGTCAGCGCCGCGTAAACGAATGAGGAACTGACCCCCTCACATCCATACCTTCGTCAACAACAATGCCGTCATTGATTACTCACTTTCGTCAACAACAAGGCCGTCGTTGATTAATAATTTCTTACCTTCGTCAACGACAATGCTGTCATTGATTGTCTATTCTGTACCCTTCGTCCTTTGTCAATGCAAATGTCGTTGATTATTCATTTTCTTCGTCGGCGACAACTCTGCCGTCGACGACCTACACTGTCAACATCGTCACGGTGGACGATGGTATTGTCAGGGATGCGTCCGGGGTGGAGGGGGCCCGGCTGTAGCGCCCGGCGGAGGGACCCTCTTGGGGGACGAAGCGGGTGCGCGTACTGATGGGCCCGATCTGGGACTGTAGTCCCTGGCCACTTAGACTGAAGTGGAAAACGTGAATTGTTATTAAAAGGAAGAACTACACTACTTACCTGAAGTGGAAAACGTGAGAAGAAGGTTACTTCTTCAGTTCCCACTTCAGGTACATTTATGTACATGCGGCTTGGGTCACATGACGGGTGCCACATCATCTACGGAGAAGGCCACAGCCATCCGGGTATCCCCATGGGGGATCCCGAGGGCGTCCGCTGCAGGTGCGCATGCTGGGCATAGCGGGAAGTCGTCCAGGGTGTCCGAGCCGGACGGGTCAACAGTACAATGATACAAGGGAAGGTGGTCCGTGTAAATAGAAAGAAAAACAGAAAGGGAGAGTGAAATAAAGGAGAAAGAGGAAAGAGGGAAGAGGGAGGAAGGATGGGTAGCGGGGAGCGGGTGAGCAGGTGAACGGGTGAGGTGGGCCCGAGTGGGCCTGGGTGGAACCGGGTCAGGCGGGTGTGCCCTGACAGGTATTTAATAAACTCACAACGACGAGAAAGTCGTTCCATCGTCGACAACACTGTCGTCGAGATCTGGGTGCATATGTTCCAGGAGAAACTCTAAGTGGGCTTCGCCTACAAAATACTATTATAGCCTCCTGCAATGAGTGTGCCCCCGTTTGCATACATCCTTCGTATGTAGAACGTTAAAAAATTTTATTTCTTTAAAATGCTTGCTTTCCCCTTGTGTATATATGCTAGTACCCTGTCTGCGATCTAGTATCGCAAGGGAGGAGGATGTGAGGCCCCGGCCCATGTCTATATTCCGCCCACAACATCAGTTGATGTTGTGTTGTGTAATAATTATGTTGCGACGCTAATATAGCGTCGCGGAAGCTTCTCTATTTATTTGTGCCGAGAATGTATAAGATTGTATATAAACCCTCGGGGTAGCTGTAAAAGGCGGATTAGCCTTTACTTCTACCCCATCAATATACAGCCAAATCAAGCATATACTTAGACGGACTACTGAGGCCTGAGGCGAATGGGGGAACGGAACGTTACCGTCCCCAAACTAGTAAGATAACCTGGGAAAGCTTGGCATGGGGTTTGGGTAGAGAAATAGGGGAAAACAATAAGGAGGCATACCTGGTTCTACTTGCTTGTAACCATGGACCATAAGATTCTGGACCATTCCTATAACAGTTGGGGTGCCGGCCTTGGTGACTCCTCAATCCTCAGACTGTCAATAACTTAGACTGTATGAAGCTAGTATTCGACAGGGGGGGAGGAGAAGAGCAGAGCCCCTATTCCTGACGCCGGACACTATATATGTATATACAGTTGTTATACATTGTTTAGTCCGAAGATTATTATAGTATAAAGAATAAAAGGAAAGTGTGCATCATCCATTCTCTATCCATTCCTTACACTCATCCCCCAGCACCTTCAGCCAGCCTCAGCATGCCTTGGACACCCTTGGCAAACCCCAGCACTACCCTCCAAATCAGTATCTGACACTGTCCCCATGTCCCTGACTTCCGGATACAATGATGCACATGTACAACAAGACACAAATAATGGATGAAAAAAAGCATCCCAGTAAACACTGTAAAAGAACTAGATAACTTGGCTAATATCAACAACTATTGGGGATCGCATACAACCTTGGACCAAGAATCGAGTCCCATCTTTGCTAGCACAAGGAAGGTAGAGGCCATTCTCATTCCTCAGCATTCGATCCCCATACCATACATCTTGACTGTTAATCTGGTGCCTCTCAAGAACAATTGGGCGGCAATCTCGTGGGAGAAACAGTTCAAGTTTACCATTTAGCCAGATTGTCTGTGTTCTGACCCGGTTGTGTCTTTGCTTGAGGTAGCTACCAGGGAGGTAGGGGTCAGGGATGGTGATATAACGAGACCGATGCATATCCGGAGCCTGTGTGAGCCTTGATGGGGGTCTCGGGAGAGTCGCTCCAGCCACAATAGGTCAGCATCATGCCCTGCAACAAGGCTCTGCAGACGAGGGATGCCATTCTCTCGGTGCAAAGTGATTTTTGTTGGGGTTTGGGTTATAAGATGTGGGTGAGGGTTGGTGTTGTAGGAGTTGGGGAGTGTTGAACCAGACACATGAAAATGAACCAACTCACGTGTGTTTGTTGACCAAATAGAGATATTATTGCCATCATGAACAACAATGTATTGTCCTTCAGGGGAGAGTCCAAGTGTGCAATAGTTAGGCATGGCTGATCTGGAGGTTGGAACAGCAAAGTGAGGAGAGGAAAGAGGGTGGATGGATGGTTCATCTGAAACATATATGATCACCATGTTTTCATACCATCTGCAGTCAATGTTCCGGGGAGCTCGTATGATGAATGAGCCATTGTCTGCAACCAGAGTAACAGGAGGGTGGGGCCCACTGGGGAGTGTACCAACTTTCACAGATGGCAAACCATGGCTGAAGACCATGATGTTTCCCTCACTATCTTCAGTGGCAATCCGGTGGCTGCCACAGATAAACCCAATCCAGGCTGGGATATGGGGTGGGTCACATTGGAAATGAGTGATAGCATCTTGATGGTCAATGTCAGCAATTTCAATAATGCCATTTCCAAAGCCAAGTGCAATGTAGCGGCCATCTTGTGAGAGTGCTGCAGCAGTCACAATACCATTGCGAATATCAGGATCAAGAAATTCAGCTTTCTGATCAGTCCTGTCCATCTTATCCATTGATAATGCACTGAGTTTTGCCTCCATAGCCCTTTGAGCGCTACGAGTATCCCCACTTAATGGAAATGAAAGGCCAGAAAATTCTCCAGCAATGCTGAAAATCCGAATAGGATCAGAGAGGTGTCCATATGACTTAAAAAGTGGGGATGAGGATGGAGTGAAGGGAAGAATTGACCGAAAAATATGCCAAGGGGAGGAGCTGAGTTCATTTTTAGTTATCATATCCTTCACCCTCTTGACTTCTCCTAACCATGCAGCAAAATTGTGATTCTGCAAGGCAAGAGCAATGTCATCTTGTTAGGAAGGATCAGGTGAAGCTACACTTACATTGGATTGAGGGAACTCATCAGGCAGCTTGAAATCAGATTGTGATAGTGCAAAGAATGAAAGTAAGTTTCGGGTGAGGAAGACATCAAACTCGCTGCTGAATTCATTGGAATCTTGTGAGGACAGTCTTGATGGATCCGAGTGGTAGAAGAGGTAATGGAAAGCATATTGGACATGTTCAGGTTGCTTCTTCCCCCGAAATTCTTTCCGCTTCTTGCTATCACCCAAAGAACGGATTTTGGACACATTCCGTTCAATGACAGCATTTACAAGTTGAAGAAGCAGTGGTCCCAAGAAATGCCCCTTCAAATCACTAATGAAGAATGGCTGATCACTTTCATGACCAATTGGGTGATCCACAAGGAATTCCTTCATTGTTGCATGATAGAATTTGGGGTATACTGCATCGGGGGTAATTCGAAGCACTCGCATCAAACCTTGGAGGGACCGTGAGTTCTCTGAAGAAAACTCGACAATTGAGCTGATCGGTTCTAGGGTTGCACAGACTTCCTCCTCAGCTATCCCTAGGAGCTGTGACATTGAATATAAGCTGAGTGGCCGACATGCTGCAATGATCATCCCAATCACTTGGCGGTAATTCTTGATTACATGTGGAGGAATAGTAGGTTGGTCAGACATGTATGCTCGCCGCAGTATTCGCAGATACTCCGATTTTAGGTCAAGTGGTGCATCTCTGAGATTGCGAAGGTATTCAAGCTCCAACTTCAGAGTGGAACCGCGCTGAGTCCGAATGCAGACATCCCGTGTGCGGATCGAGGCTATAACAGGTAATCCACGGCAAGCTGAAGCAAAGGCATCAAAATCCTCCGGGGACGGCTTCCACGCAGATTTCTTGACACAATCTCGAAGGCCCTCTTCTGCCATACAGCGGACTGTGCACAACGTCTCCTCCCCAATTTTATCAACATCTTCGCATGGGATGTTGAGACCCCCATCCCCAGCATCGACCCATGCTGAAATAACCTGCGGTTCTGGGCGGGAACTAACCAACACAGTGAATGTGGAAGGCAAATCACCAAGCATTAGCACCAGCTTCATCAAGGCTTTGAGTGCTTCCTGATCCCCGCACTCGTCCAAGCCATCTAGGATGATGATGAAGCGGTCCTTGGTTGATGACAGTAAACCTTCGAGACCGACCATAGGCTCAATAACCAGAGCCCTCATTTGCTTCTCCGGAGGGAGATTTTGCGCAAGCTCGAGATCTGGCTGCCGAAGACGTTTGACAAGCGAGAGCTTAAATTCCTCACTAAAGCGGGAAAGTTGATGCGCGAGGGTGGTGGGAAACTGTTTGATAGTGTCAAGTCCAGTTCCCGGTTGATTCTTGTCCCAAAAAAATGATGCTGCTAACACGCGCTGTGTCTCCAAGTTGGACGCAATGCTCAGGCAAATCGCAGTCTTTCCCGTTCCAGGCGAACCTCGCAGCCAGACAAATCTGTTCCCTGCTTTCTTCAGATGTTCGACTATAGACCTCTGTATCAGCTCCCGTGTGCCTTCCAGGCACTCTGACTTGGCCGTGACGAACGTGTGCTCAGCAGGGACCCGTGGGAGCCTTGAGAGTTCGGCTAGTAGCGCTCTTTAGTAAAGAGCCCAAAGGCATGTGCATAGAAGCGTACTTCGCATTGAAGACTGAATTGTGTGAAGGAGGTTCAAAATCGCTGCCTCCGTCTACAAGGTACGTTCCAATTAGCTAACATGGATGCTTTAGGCACTAAGGGAACGAACCGAGAATGATGTGACAGCATTGTTGATGCAAGTCTTCACGCTGTTTATGCGTTGGGTTACATCGGAGGCTGAAGCTATTCTCATTGAAAGGTTTCGACCTGAAAGTGCTTGCATCTGCTTCGTCTGTTCATCCAAAACCCTATGTATGTAATTTGAAGTCAAATGTGTAAATGAAACGAATGTACGCACAAATGGAATTCCTTAATTAGAGCTGTTACTTCGGGAGGAATCTCGCTCGTCCACAGTTGGAGCGGTCGCAGAATGATTGTGTAAGCTTTGACGACCTCGTTATTTAGCCCTTTGAGATTTTCGATATTACTGTCAACTGTCTGTGAGAACCAACGTGAGCCATATGCCATCGCCGATCGTGATACTAGAACACTGCTCAAACCTTGTAAACTTGGAGAAATGTCAGCAGTAGACTCGGAATCTCCCCAAAAGTGGAATGGGAGAAAATTTAAGAGCGGAGGCAGCTGCCTGTAGAATGAGCTCCGTAGTGCCTATAATGATCGACTTCTTTCCGTCACTAGCTGGGGCCGAATTCCCGTCTGAGTCCAACCCCACACGTTCTGGTTGCGGGTGGAGGCTCGAAGTGTTGTTGGGCGTGGTGTCGATGCCGCGCGTCGAAAGAGTATTCTGTTTGGGATCGGGATGAGCTGGCGATAGCCGCGAGGTATCAGGGGTTGGGTGATGAACCGCAGGCAGTTCTAAGTGAGGTGTAGTTGACCTGTCACGCCAATTGAAACTTGGCCAATGCCCGAACCACCCAGTAGTACAACAAAAAGGCGATATCTCCGAATCACTAGGAGGTCCCTCGAGATGCGATCCTGTTGATCCATCTTGTCGATTCCCGCGGATATTGTTACGGTTCTGGGCTTCTTGGGGACCAGCGATATGGGGCAAGTGTGACCCTGATGTGCGCCATGAGTGTGGACCAGGAGTGGAGAGCTGGTAGGCAGGAAATTTTCCTTTCGGACCTCGAGAGGAAGATGGCAGCTGTTTTTTGCCAGGCATCACACCAATGCTATGGACGATAGTGAACCAGTCGAAGCATGAAGCCCGGAAAGCCTCCTACCCCTAATGTTGAATGATCTACGTAGAGACACTTGAGTCGAGGCAAGAAGCGGCCTCGTATTGACCACGATGTGAGGCAATGTGACATTGCTTCATTTAGAAACATGCTGGTTCCAATAGGGGCGAGCAGACCCAGATAGGCATGAAGCTGCGTAGTTACCTGCACAGCAGTGTTGAAATTACTGACGAATGCGATATGTGAGGTCAGGCAGTACATTTTTTCGTATATATACGATTGGAAGAAAGAAATGAAAGTGCCTCAGAATCAGATTGTGGTTTGTTGCACTTACTACGATATTTCAGTTTCTCTATGAGGTGCAGCAGGCGTCAGAGAAAATTGCAACCGCCCGATTGGGATGAATGGTCCAGCTAATTGACTATTTGGGAACATGGTGAGCGCTCACTATTTATTTGGATGATCACATGATCATAGGGGTCAGTGGTTCTCTTTTTTATGATTCGGTGTTTGACTGAACTTTCACGCCAGTTACTCAATTCACAAATCGCGAGCGTTGAACGGAGGGAAAATAAATAACATTCCCCCCCCCCAAAAAAAAAAATAAGCACGTGCTCTTTGAGGCTGGGAGAGGGATTTGTGCCGTGAGCAAGGGCCAGGTCGACAAATTAGGCAGTTCGAGTTTCCGTATATCTCCCTTGCTTCCCTCACCTAACACTGCACCCATGGCCAGCAAATGCTCAAACGGCAAGAGCTTTCCTCTCCGCGCTGGTATTCTGGTGAGATTTGTCTCCCAGCCGGGCGCGTAGCTGCTGCCTAACATCCTTTGGAGCTCATCTCAGAAATTGGCCTGCTGTCCTTCACCCTGGCAACCTGGCTTCTCATTTACTCTCTGGTGAGACTCTAGTCCTTGCGCCCGTTCCAGACATTGAGTCATACTTTTTGTACACCCTGTAGAGAAGAGCATACCGCAAACGTGCTAGTGGATTGGATCCCGGCTCCAAATTTGGACTCCAGCCCATATCAGTGTTGTTTCTGTGCGCCATCTTTTCAGACGTGATGTAAATCTTATCTTATCGACGATGACAGACCCGCACTCACCGGGTTGCCCTAGTCAAGGTATATCAAATATTATGTCCGTCAAGTGGGCATTCGAGGGTGAAGTCACCGAAGGATCGTACTGCACAGCGCAAGCTGTGATGAGACAAATCGGCAATGACGGCGTTGGTGCGTAGTCGACCTCTAAACCGACATCACATTCCTCACAGGCACTTGTTCTCAGCGTGGTTCACCATGGCAATCGCAGCGTTGACCTACCTCCAGCTTTTCCACCTCAATTTGTTGGGGGAGCGAGGCGCGAAGATCTTTGCGGCAGCATCAATTTGCTTTATCGCCGTATTCATCATTCTCATCGTGTCGATACCTGCTTCCACCCTCCATCCATATTATGGCAACACTGGGTAAGAACGACCTGCGCCCCTTCACTTATATTATCTAATCCTGCATTCAGATTATGGTGTTGGATTGTCAAGAGGAAGGAAAATTCGCGACTCCGCATCGGTACATAGGAACCCACACAAGTGTTGTGCCTTCTAATATTGAAATTTGGGTTTGCAGCAAGTGAAGATGCTTGGATCTGGCTTGCCGTCTTGGTGGCAATAGCTGTATATGGTCTAATTGCGTACAGATGGCGACAAGATATGTCTCATAACTATGATAACCCCGTGATGAGGCGGAATGCCATTACTATGGGATGGTATCCTATTGGTATGTATGATCGTCCCGCACAGTCGACCCTGATACTCATTTTTCCTGTACTAGTTTATTTCATGGTGGTTGCACCTCAATCCGCAGTTCGTTTCCTTCAATTCCGGGCGAACCAGCCAGGCTACGGTTGGACGGTCCTCACTTCAGCTATTTTTTCCTCTGGTGGTGCTCTCAACGTCATTCTCTGGCTCAGGACAGGTAGACACTTCGGGTGGACCTCGTGGACCCAGGGGTCTCGGTCCCCCAGAGACATTGAGTTGCACCTCGTGCAGTAAACTGTGGCGGAGTGGATGTCAGTCGAGTGTATTACCAAGAGTACAACCCAGACCCGAGTCAATAATGACCAGCAACAACTGTTAGCCGCGAGTTCGGCGTTCATGACTAGCCCCACCGTGCATGGACCGGTGACTATTAGGTACAGAGGTTAGATGTAGGCGCTGGCCACATTCCTTTCTGGTTACTATTTATGGATGGGTTCGCTGGATTGCTTTTTGTAAACTAAGAAATAATCACCGAGGGTCATGATCTGATTGGCTCGGCCCGAAGCCAGGTTATGAATCATTTTGATTGTTCCATTCAGCCTGACCAGCCAGGGATAGGATATTAATTTTGCTTTGTTATACATAGGGGGTCCCAGCCCAGACTCGTACCCAGTCTGAGGAGCTCCGTGGACATGTAAATAAACGTTCCCACGCTAAATGTTCTGCTTACTCAATACAAAAATCACATGGTACGGAGTTAAACACATAGTCGGGCAAAATGTAGTATGGCAGTGCTACGGCACTTTCCGTCCCAAAGTTTCCCGCGCTAATCCTTGGCCCAATTAGGCACCCTGTCTGCATCTCCACTGTGAGGTCTCAGTGGGGTTGCTCAGCACACGAGGCCGTAAGTGATACAATGATGTGTATTTTACGGTGTGTGTAAGCAGTTAACCGAAGTTCCCGCTTACCCACATGACTTTATGTACATCGTAATTACATATGGCTCGGGGTTCGGGGCTATTGCCCTGACACCCACTTACTGCAACTGACACCATAATAAATGCTAAGCCCACAGCAGAGCAAATAAGGGTCCTAAACATGCCTGCTGGTTTCAAGCTGAAATTGTGGAATATGTCATATCTGTACATACTGTCACGACCCGGCATTCCCCGGAGTTAGATGACCTCCCCCGACCTTTTCCCATGCCCAAACACTCCCCACACACTCCATTTGCTGCCCATCACCATCTAACCACTCCCCACCACATCTCAACATCCCTGTCAGGGATCAGCAATGACCCTGGACCCTATGCCGGCTGCGCATATGCGCATGGGAAGTATGCCGGTAATTCCCATCTACTCCGCTTACCTAAGCCCCGGTGGCCCGGATCATCTCTGGCATTGTTCTGGAACATTCTATGATCACGTGATTCTATTGGCAATCCATTTGGTTTCCTTATTGCCAGACTCTACATGTATATAGCTGACCCTAAGATGGGGACATCCCTTTCCCCTGGCTTTAATCACAACTAGGTTATCGGAGCATCCTGCACAAGCACGCACGTCCCCTGACAATCCCCTCCCCTAATCGTTGTTGAACAACTCAGCAGTGCAGAGCACTGCAACCTCTTGTTCCATGTTTCGCTGCACCTTGTTATCTCACAGTGAAGGTCACGGTTGACCTTTGCTGTCTTAACCATGTGCTTCTTTGTTTGTTTTCCTCTTTCTTTTCTCCACCCACAATCTCTGCGAGATTGTTAGACACTGATCCGGAGTGTCACGGCCGTGCATTCCGGCCCGTTAGCCGCCCGTCCCGATCCCGCCCGAGCCCGTTACCGCTATGCGAGCGTGAGCGCGAGCCCCGACCTCAGCCCTATCCTCCCTGAGGACCCCCTGCTCACTTCCCCGCTTGCCCCTAGGCTCCCCTGCACCTGGCCGACTCCCCCACAGCCACACCGACCTCCCTGCCCCGAGTCCGCCTCTGGTACCGACCTAGCGTGACTCCGCGACATCGCCTACTCCGCTATGATACCATCGCCGCTATCGCGGCCCTACACCCCTTCGTTTATTTATCTGTTATTGTTTGTTTTGACCCTCGGTCATTGCCGGCCACGGTGCGGCCAACCCCGCTCTTTGTTCCTATTTGCTTCCGGACCCTTCGGCCTTCGGCCCGGGTCCGCTTCTATTCATTCCACCTTCATATATATATCCTGTATACTACATTATAGTACCTTAGCTCTAATATCGATTTGACCACGACCCCTAAGTCCTGACCCCAACAAGGCAGCCCCAGTAAGTTTGAAATGAGGGCCAAGAGACAACTAGGGGGCACAGCACTCCCTTTAGAGTTGCTGAGGCCAAATGCCCTACCCTCGGGCCTTGTCTGAGGCATCGCGGCCATCGCGGCCCTTAGCGGTCCGCATCGGCGACCTTCGGTGCCCGACCCCGGATCAGTATCTAACACGGAGTCGGCACCGAAGGTCGCCAATGCGGGCCGCTATTGGCCACGATGGCCGCGATGCCTCAAACAAGGCCCAAGGGTAGGGCATTTGGCCTCAGCAACTCTAAGGGAGTGCTGTGCCCCCTAGCTGTCTCTTGGCCCTCATTTCAGACTTACTGGGGTTGCCTTGTTGGGGTCAGGACTTAGGGGTCGTGGTCACATCGATATTAGAGCTAAAGTACTATAATGTAGTATACTGTTAGAACTAGCAGATTCGGACGACTCCGGAGTGGAATCGGAGACTTAGCATGGAAGGACCTCAGCCTCAGCGACTCAAGCGGAGCGCTGTGCCATTGCTGGTTGTCCTGGGGGTCCCTAATTTCAGATCTAGCAGAGGGAAAGTCTCTTGGGGGAATTCAGGTCAATTTCGGACTGAGGTTACAAGTTACTAGGTACATTGTATATAAGGAGGGGTCCGGAATCAAAAGGAACAAGGGTAGGACAAAAGGAGACAAAGGGAGATGGAAAGAGGAACAACACCAAGGGTCAAGGGTTTGACTCAATGGTGTTTCCCAAAGGAGGAGTGAAGGGCCAAGGCCCAAGGAGGAAGGAAGGAGGTTGGGAGTGGGGAATGGCTAGCTGACTGAATAGAAAGGAAGCAGCAGCCCAAATAGGAATGAGGGAGAATAGCGGAACTGAATGGAGCAATGCAATAGTTGCAAGGTCCGACGTAAGTCCGGAAAGTCCGAACTCGGAAGTTAAACTCCGGAATATTGGCAAACATAATTAAATGGAATGAGCTAACCAATACAATGGGTATAAGCGGAGGTGGGGTCAAAGTCCGAGGTCGGAGCTAAGACCGGAGGTTCCGGAGATGGAGACGCGAACAGGATTCCAGAGCGGAGGTCCGGAGTCGGGAGCATAGGTTTTGCGTACTCGTCTGGAAGGTGTCGAGGTTGGGGTCGGACCCGGAATGTTCTGGAGTCGGACCGAAGGTGGTGTCCGAGCCGGAGGTGGGATAACCTCTTGGGAGTCAGCAAGGAGAAAGTGACGGAAGGGAAGTAGGACTCCGGAAGTCAGGTTCGGAGTTCCGGGAGCCCGGAGCGGAGGTCGGGATTGTATGGATATGACATATACAGGATATATATGAAGGCAGAATGAATTGAAGCGGACCCGGGCCGAAGGCCGAAGGGTCCGGAAGCAAAAGGGAACAAGGAGTGGGGTTGGCTGCACAGTGGCTGGCAATGACCGAGGGTCAAAACAAACAATAACAGATAAATAAAGGAAGGAGTGTAGGGCTGCAATAGCGGCGATGGTATCATAGCGGCGCTGGACTCGGAGTTGGGCCGGAGTCGGGCATGGGAATGGGAATGGTAGCGGCCCTGTAGGGGCCGAGTGGGTGGGGTAGAGGAGTTGCGCTGGGCACGGTGCCAGAGGCGGACTCAGGGCAGGAAGGTTGGTGTGGCTGTGGGGGAGTCGGCCAGGTTCAGGGGAGCCTAGGGGCAAGCAGGGGAGTGAGCAGGGAGTCCTCAGGGAGGATAGGGCTGAGGTCAGGGCTCACGCTCATGCTCGCATAGCGGGAATGGGCTTGGGTGGCATCAGGATGGGCGGCTAATGGGCCGGAATGCACGGCTGTGACAGAGATCTGGCAACTTACTTTCTATTCAGTTCTAGCGCTTATATACAGCTTGTAACTATTGCTTGTACAGTAGTTTGAAATCAACTAGAATTCCCTCCCTAGCTTACCTCTGTCCCCTGTAAGACCTCCACCATCTGAAGTATTGGTACCACATCAAGAATGAGGCACAATGCTCCTCCCTGAGTCGTTGAAGCTGAAATCTCGGCCTGCTTGCCTAAGCACCCTCGGCCTCAAGATCAGTGAGGTTGATCCTCGCTGAAGTTCAGTTGATAGTAGAAAGCTGTCATATCCATCCATGGCCATCACCTCCACCACCTCCGGTCCTCCTGGTTTACCTCCGCTCCTTCGTCACTAACCTTGGAGCCTCCATATTCTGTAACCCCTTCCAACACCCCCTCAATTCAATATCTTACCTATGCCTCCCTAAGTATGGAGCCCTGAAGGCCTCTTGACAGCTCCGACATCCACAACTGCACCCCTGCTCCCACCAGGTGTTGAAATCTTGGTTTTCTTGTGCACTGTGGTGTCAGGGCATGCTGCCACCTTCTTTCCTTTTGTCTCATCCTCTCATCCTCTCTTCTTTCCTTCTTCTCTTTTTCTATCTTTATACAGATGACCTCTCTTTCTTTCCTACACCTGTAGCATGGACGTGCCTGACGCTGAGCACCCCGTAGGGGCACCACAATGCCGGACGCACCGCGCACTCCTACTTGTATTTCCCCTCCAACACTCTGGATTGACCATGGAGCCACCTGCGGTAACCCAGCTTCGTCCGAGGGTGACCCATTCACACATGTATATAAACTAAGCCGAAGCAGGACCGAAGAAGTAACCTTCTTTCCCGCTTCAGGCAAGTACCCTAGTTTAGTCTAGCTTCCCACCCTAATAACAATACATTTCCCACTTCAGCCTAAGAAGCCACACAGGGACATAAGCCCAAGTGAGGGCTGCCCACTATACAGTCTTACTGCCCCGCCGCTGTCTGGGCCGCTAGCACCGAGCGCTACACCGCTACCTCTGCCTTCCTCGAGCTGTCCCTGACAGCAGAAGAAGGTTTCAACCTAATCTCCCCCACCTCCTGTCAGGGGACGGACCCCGGGTCCCCATGACCCCTCTCTCTATAGCCCACAGCCCTGTGTGTGAACAGCCTATCCTAAGGCACAACCTACTGTGGGTAAGAAAGTGAGAAGAAGGTTAACTTCTCACTTTCCCACAGTGGCCCAATATGGTGAAAACTTCCGGGGATACCCGGAAGTCACATGAAGAGTGGGAACCGGGCCCGGAGCATGCGGTGCACAGAGCATGTGGGGCAGAGCGCACATGCGGGTGCAGGTGCGGGTCCGGGCTAGTCAGTGTGCCCTGACACCTCCTCCAGCATGGTGACCGAAGAGCAGTACCAGGACCTGCTGACTAGGTTCCAGGAACTGCAGGCCATCCTCAAGAGACACATCCAGAACCCACCGGCCCCGTCTGCACCCGCGCCTGCACCCACACCCAAGCCCAAAGCACCCAAGGTTGCCCCCCCACCGCCT